GGTGGAACTGACCTTCAAATCTCTTCACCCAACACTTTCACTCGAAATGGAAGTAAACTCAACAATTATGAAACAAGAGATACCTCGAAACCCAACTTTTCTTCGCATTTCACTTTTCTTTTTTAGCTTTCCCTAACGCACAACCTAAGTTTACATTTTAAAATTATTACATGTCTTAAGGCATACATCATTTTTGCGCCCACATGTCTTTTTTCGTTTTTGCCACTAGGCCCATCACTACCATACCCATATCAACGACTTTACGTCCTAAACGTTCTTCTACCCATCTGTAATCTTCAGCTTAAAATGTATTCATTCTCTGAAGAAGTTTTTCAACATACATTTACTCAGATTAGAGTCTGATAAAAAAACAGGGGCCACAGCATCTCTTAAGAAATCAGTTTTAACTAGGTTTTAATACAAGCTTTCTTGTTATGAAGGCAAGTAATAACTGTCATATTACTGTAAGCTAGCTGATTATTTCGATTATATATATTTATATATATATATATGTAATAATGGATGTGAGTCTTCGTTATAATCCCAATGTTAACCATCATTTTTGTTGAATGCATATTCAGCAGCCCTGCTGGCTTGCCGTCCTCTTCCTCATCATCACCATCACCCTCGCCTTCGCCGTTTGCATTCTCCCAAACATTGCCCGTTGTCATGGTGCCCCCACCGTCTATTAATTTCGGCAACGATCTTTGGTTATTGGCCAAGCGGACTCGTGGCAACACCGTGATGCGCAAATTGATGGCGACTAGCATTTCGATCGACTCCAGCCAACGCGGAAAGGCATCAAATTCCACTTTAGTCGACTCTGCGCCACAATCGCTTCCAGAAGGCAGTGAACCCGAGGTGGTGAGGATGCGACCTTGGAGCGCGACCCTGACTACTGGCAACTGTGCTGACGATGGTCAGGACGATACTCGCACTCGTCTAAGGATGCAGACGGCATTTAGACCACGCGGACGAGGTCGTGCCTTGACGCTGGATCAACTGGCCGCAATGCAACAGACTGGCCGTCGTGTCGGATCAGCTGAAGAACTGGCCTCCGGAGCACGTCTTATGAGCCAGGTCAAACAGCAGGGCAAGCGAGCTCGACGAAAAGCTGGTATTATAGCCGAAAAGGTAGAACAATTTAACCGCAATCCGGATTGTTCTGTCTTCAAATAGCAACAAACTGCCAAAATCGATTATTATTTATGCATATATATTTTTATGTATATATGTATTTATATTTTTGTAACTATTATATCTTAATGGCTGTTAGTAAATCGCTAATTATCACTCGGCTGACATTAATTATCTCAGGATGCCAGATTTTCAATACGTTACATGGTTTCGAAGAAGATATTCCACTATACTGCCTGCAATTGAGATATCTCAAGCATCCAAATCTTTACCATATTTTGCATCATTAATCACAAGTATTTATTTGCAAAGCTAATACTCTCCCTTCTACTCGGCATTTATCTATTTCAGGCGGATGCTGACCCGGTTAGGAAGGCAGTTCAAGATGAATTAACCTTGCTCTACACTATTAAAAGGCCAATCTTTCTTTCATTTAAAAGCAATATAATATATTGCTCTTTTAATTTTGCTTGAAATAAATTATTATGGGCTTAGTCGCACAGTCTCATTAGATGTGGAGGAAAAGTAGTATTTGGTCTTTTTTTAGCATTTCTTCGTGAAACTCACAGCATTCGGGACAACTTTCTCCACTATTAGTTTATCATCTATGAGCTTTATTTTATCACATGGAATCATCTTTAAAATACTGTGTGATAAGCCTCAAGGGCTGATAAAATATATGTATCCTGGGATCACTGCAATTTCATAAAAGTTTTGCTCAAAAAGTACTCGCGAGAGTATATACCAACTTCATTCAGCTTCTGATGAGGTTGATAAGTTTTATTATTTTTCGCACATTTTCAATCGTACAGTGAACCTTATTAAAGCCCTTAAGAAATCACATTTTCCATTTGCCTGATTTTAATCCACTTATTTAAATATACTAATTTGAAAAACCATAATTTTCCCAGTTTTTGGATACTTTGAATCTACCATATTTTGATCATTGCAATATGTATTGCGTCTGCAATGTTGCCATGTATGTTTTCTGACTAGATTTGCCCTCACTTTATTCGCACACAAGAACAGCATTAATCGCATATTTTCGTCCAATTTACCTGAAATGACCGCCATACTTCACAGAAAGTATCATTTAGTGGTCAGTAAGCAATTTTATGAATCAATTTGGTAGACATGATGAGCTTTTAACAATATTTTATTATTTATTCTCATGTTCTGTGGTTTGAAACTTGAATCTCCCTGGATTCCGTGTTCCTTGGCTCTCATACTGCGTAGGCCTGAACTCCTTTAGTAATATTACAGCTTCTCCCTAACTAGACTCTCTTATGTTTACTTATCTTCCTTAGCTTAGAGTTTAAACAACGAAAGGTAAGAAAGAAGTACGAAAGCGGATATCATTACTATTTTTAACCAACTACGCAGAAGAATACAAGGAATCTTAAGATTTATTTATAATGAAGTTTGGTGATATATATTTAGATGAATTTCGTTTTTTAGAAGCAAATGATCATTCTTTGTCGGCTTTACTCAACAATCGGTAATGACTCCTTTTATTTTCTATAATACATCAATATGTTTAGTTTGTTGGTCTTCGCTCCTATTCATCAAGTCGTGTCTAACAGACAGACTTTTTCAAATCTACTGCATCATTATCACGTAGCTGCTATTTTTGCAGCTTTTGCTTTATATGCTTATGAAACTTCTCGTTTTCAAATCACATTTCATATAGATCATAACGCCTCATAAATGATGTTGCTTATTTTGGCCTTCCTACGACTGATTGTTCTTTCATTTTTCTACAATTATTTTGTCCCATTTTTGTCTATCTGCAATCTAAATATTCAGTCGCATCGAACGCATATAGACTATATCGAATTTTTCTTTCGCTAGAATTTAGGAGAGCTTCTTCTTCTAGCTGAACGCAAATTTTTCATTAGATTATGGAAGATTTCATAATTTTACTTGTTGCTTCATCGAATTTTTCATTCGCTAGAATTTAGGAGAGCTTCTTCTTCTAGCTGAACGCAAATTTTTCATTAGATTCTGGAAGATTTCTTAATTTTACTTGTTGCTTCATTGAATTTTTCTTTCGCTAGAATTTAGGAGAGCTTCTTCTTCTAGCTGAAATCAAATTTTTTATTCGATTCTGGAAGATTTCATAATTTTACTTGTTGCTTCATCGAATTTTTCATTCGCTAGAATTTAGGAGAGCTTCTTCTTCTAGCTGAACGCAAATTTTTCATTAGATTCTGGAAGATTTCATAATTTTACTTGTTGCTTCATCGAATTTTTCTTTGGCTAGAATTTAGGAGAGCTTCTTCTTCTAGCTGAACGCAAATTTTTTATTCGATTCTGGAAGATTTCATA